GAAGATTGTGTAGATGGCGCTGCAGTCTACGAAGGAGAGGTCATGTCGTGAGTCAGGTCCTAGGAATAATTATGGTCTAAAAGCATGGCCTAAGACCCTGACACACGTTGTAGTCATGTCGCATTAAATACCCACTACCATAATGTACTATAAAAGGGGCATTTACTACGGTAGGTGGAGGGGGGTTTTTGGATTCTCTCACTAATGAACACTCACTTCTCTCTCTAACTAATTTCCTCTGTATTCTTCCCATTCTCCTGAGAGTCCTCACCAGATACAAGTTACCACAACTAATCGTTTGCTCTACCCCCCACCTCTCACGCGAGTATAACTCCTACACTCAGTTAGACTCAAACAATTGGCGCCCACCGTGGGGCCGGTAGGGAAGCGATGGAAGACCAACTAACGACGGAGCACAACACCAACTCGCCCAGCGTAACGACGCCCATAAAAGCTATGACGAACCCAAGGACGCACGCGGAGACCAGTAACTTCAACGCGGTACTTATTGAAGAGGAAGAGCCCGAACTGACGCCCAAGGAGATGAGACAACAGATGGCCAAGCAAAACGAAGTCATTGCTGACATGCAGAAAAAGATGAACCAGGTTATCGCGCTCATGATGAGCAAAGAGTCTGCGCAGCCCAGTTACGCACCACTAACGGCGCCCGACGCAACCGCGGAGAACGTCGCGCTACCGCAACGTATCCCGGTCGCCATACCCGCGGACGAGACACCCCAAGCGGAGCCGTGTCCTAGGGCGGACCTCAGTTTCCTGGAGCAGCACCTCTCTCCACAATACCGCCCTCACCCCCTAAGGAGAATCCTCCATCAACCGCTGAGCGCGGACATAATGGCGGAGCACCTAAGCGGAATGCTGCCCGCTCTCCCCACATATAACGGGACGACGGACCCAGAGGACCACGTCAGCACGTTTTGCCTCAGAATGCAGCTCCAGACCAATTCCAACGCGGCACTATGTCGGACCTTCCCTTCAACGTTCTCCGGCATATGCCTCGAATGGTACAACCGGCTTCCCAACGGAATCATTCGCTCCTTTGAGGAGTTCATTCTCCTATTCACTACCAAATTCGCGTCACAAAAAAGGAGACCCCTGCACCTCAAGGCCTTGATCGACATCAGGCAGAAAGACGGTGAGAGCCTACGCGCGTTCTATGCCAGATGGTCAAGAGTAGCTATGGTGGTGCGCGACCTCACTCCCGAAACCGCCGCCCATCACCTCATGGACGCTACGACCAGCATGGAGCTCAAGCGCGCCATAGCAAAAAGGCCAGTGACGCTGTCAACAGAGCTCGAAGCTAAAATCGAAAAGGCCATCACGCTGGAGGAGACTCTGGGCGCGGGTTCCGTCAGGCGTTTTGAGCCTTCCAAGCCGCCCAGGGAAGACCAAACGCGGAAACAACTTCCGGTGCCCCGAGAACAGTTACTGCAGTCTCACAGCGGATCCAGGAGGCAACTCGCTCCACCAGAACAAGTTCCGCGGAGGCGTTCCCCCGATAGGCGTCAGCAGAACGCGAGACTTTCGAGGCGATGCGCAGGCACAGTCTGTGCTTGAATCCTCAAAAATCCGTGTTTGGAGCAGAAGCAGGAAAGTTCTTGGGGTTCATGATCACTAAGCGCGGAATCGAGGTCGACCCGAAGCAGATAACCGCCGTCCAGCAACTGCGGACGCCGAGGAGCGCGCTGGAGATACATTCCTTGAACGGAAAGATAGCGGCGCTGGGAAGATTCATACCAAGGTCAGCTGATAAATGTACCCCTTTCTTCCAAACGCTCAAGAACGGCACGCGGTTCGCGTGGACGCGAGAATGTGAAGCAGCCTTTCAAGAACTCAAGACATATCTTGTATCCCCACCTGTACTATCTGCTCCCAAGCTTAATGAAAAACTCTTTTTGTACCTTGCTGTGTCAACAAGAGCTGTAAGCGCAGTGCTAGTGTCCAGGAGAGAGAGCCAGACCGAGCGTCCTGTGTATTACACGTCACGAACGCTGGTTAGCGCGGAAACGAGGTACTCCCCCATTGAGAAGGCGGCACTCTCACTGGTGAGCGCCTCGCAGAAACTACGCCCCTACTTCCAAGCACATCAAATCACGGTCCTGACCAACCTTCCGCTCAAAAAAATCTTGTCCTCGATGGAAGTGTCCGGGCGGATGGTTAAATGGGCGGTCGAATTGTCCGAGTATGACATCCAATACGCCCCGAGGCCCGCGATAAAAGCTCAGATTCTAGCAGATTTTATCGCGGAGGGTGTCACCCTTGACTCCACGCCAGAGGGGGTATGGGATGTCTACGTGGATGGAGCGGCAAGCAAACATGGAGCCGGAGCGGGGGTGGTCGTGCGCGCTCCAGCGGGCGCTACTCACGAGATTGCAATCCGGTTCAGAGCACTGAAGACAAACAATGCGGCGGAATACGAAGCAATCTTGGCGGGAATGACGGCTGTGAGCGATTTAGGTGCGAGAATAATAAGAATCCTTTCCGACTCCTCTCTGGCAGTTAATCAACTGAATGGAACCTTCGATGCGAAGGAAGACGCGCTGGCGCATTACATGGAGCGTGTCAAGAAGAAGGCGAGTACCTTCGAGGCAGTGAGTTACGCGCAAATCCCCCGTGAGGAGAACATACACGCGGACGCGTTGTCAAAACTGGCAACCGCCACGGACTTCGAATCAACTCGACTGGTATCCGTCCAAGAGGAGGAAGAAGCGGACCGGGAAGTGGCAGTCAACGCCACGCAACCCACACTAGACGATGATTGGAGAGCCCCGATCATGAAATACTTGCAAGACGACGTGGTGCCAGAAGATCCTAAAGAGGCGTGGGCCCTAAGGCAAAAAGCGGCCCGCTGCACGATTATCGGAGGAGAGCTATACCGGCGTTCGTACTCGGGCGCCTACTTAAAATGCATCAGCCAAGAGGAAGCCCACAACGTGGTGCGTGAAATACACGAAGGGTTGTGCGCAATGCACGTCGGGTCGCGTAGCATGGAACGCACAATTTTGCTGCACGGGTACTACTGGCCGCGAGTAAAGAAAGACACGAAGAAGTATGTGGACCAATGTCACAAGTGCCAAGTGAACGCGCGCCAACACCACCTTCCCTCCACCAAACTACAAGGCAACCTGAGCCCATGGCCCTTCGCGCAATGGGGCGTCGACCTCCTGGGCCCCTTTCCAACTGCAAAAGGGAAGCGCAAATACATTATCGTGGCGGTGGACTACTTCACCAAGTGGATCGAAGCGGAAGCACTCGTGAAGACTCGGTATTTGCACATGTTTTCCCCTTTGTTTCTTGATTGTTTGAGCTTGAATTATCGTGTCTTTGGCCTATTTTATGCTAGGTTGTGTTCCTTTGTCACATTTCAGGTCCTAGCACATAAAGTGAAGCATAGGCGCAAGTTTCAAGTCAATCAGAGATCAATTGACGATTCGGGAGAAGAAACTCGGGTATGACCTGAAGAAGAATGGATTTCTACCTCACTTTATGGACAAAGAATCATGAAAGCTTGTCATGAAAAGAAAGAGGACGAGACTACAAGCGTCTGGGATCAAACGGCGACTGATTCGGAGTCCGGACGAGGGAGAAATGAAGCATTAAACAGAGGCTGAGCAAGCCACACGGGCACAACCCACACGGCCGTGTGACCTGGCCATGTGGCCGTGTGGAAATCACCGAGCCTTCACACGGGCAGCTGGGAAAGCCACACGGCTGTGTGGCCTGGCCGTGTGAGTCGGGAATTGCTATTTAAAACCCGATTTTCAGCAAAAGGAGAGGGAGAGAGCTGGGTTTTGGATCCCAAACACCCAAGGGACGAACCCTAGAGAGAGAGAGCGACTTGGGAACATTCTTGGAGCTATTTTGGAGGATTTCTTCGCCATTGGAGCTCGGGAATCAAGCTTGGAGATGGAGATTGAAGATCTAGATCAGATTTCTGCAGTCTCTCTCTTCTCTATGGAGTAACTTCCCTTCACTTAGGTTTTGAGGAACCCTAGTTCCATGAGTTAGGATCTTGCTTGTATGAAGTTTTGGATGCTATGTTGTTTGATTTTAATCGAATGATGCATGTTTATTGAGTCAATTGAAGTCTGATCAACTTTTCCTGATTCCTGCTGCAATCTGAGATAGATAGAATCTGATTAGGTTGCTAGAGTCTCATCATTCGGTAGTAGGAGATTGGCTATATGAGAGTTAGCCAGTGTACTGCTTTGTACTGGAATCTAATTCCAGTAGTGGAGTTCTGTTCTTACTGCTTCAGCTTTCTATCCCGGTAAAGACTAGTCGTCTGCCGGATAGTTAGACTGAGAGGGCTTGGTCAGCTTAAGAGATTCCAAGCTACTGTCGGATCTTCCGCAGTTTAATCAACAGTAAAACAACCAAAAGGAATTACAACTTGGACCTAATTGAGGAGCTAGGGGGAATCATACCTAAGTGAGTTCCCAAACTGTAGTTAGTAGTTTTACTTAGTTTAGTTAGTAGAGTAGTTTAGTTAATCAATCCTTAATCTAGTTTGCTAGATAATGAACTGAAGCTGAGAAATAGTAACTCTAGAGACCCGTGGATTCGATATTTATTACTTGTGCCACTATACTGCAGTCCCTTTCATTGGTTACACTTGGCCATTGTTAGGTGTTGTGTTTTAGAGCATCAACTCGCCTCGATAACAGCACAACAGGTGACACGCTTCCTGAAAAATAACATATTGTCGCGGTTCGGAGTCCCGAACGCGCTCGTCTTCGACCATGGAAAACAGTTCGATTGCACGGAGGTAATTGACTTCTGCGACCAAGTAGGAGCAATTGCAAGGTTCGCGTCAGTGGCCTACCCCCAAGCCAACGGCCAAGCAGAGTCGGTCAACAAAGCAATCCTACACGGATTACATACCCGCCTGGGTGACGCTAAGGGCAATTGGGCCGACGAACTCAACATAGTACTATGGGCACACCGCACAACATATAAAGTCGCGACGGGAGAAACGCCTTTCGCGCTCACGTACGGCACTGACGCGGTGATTCCTATTAAGACAACAACCCAAACGTACAGAATCACAATGTACGACGGAGAAGCCAATGAAGAGGCGCGCCTTCTTGACCTCGAGCTAGCGCAGGAAAGACGCGAGTTAGCAGCCATCAAGCTCGCAGCAACAAAGGAACAGGTAGCTAAGTACTACAACGCCAAGCTGGTCCCCCACAAGCTCAACCTCGGAGACCAAGTGTTAAGGCGGAACTTCCGCCCAGACCCCAAACACGGGAAACTCGCGTCGGCATGGGAGGGCCCGTACCTGATCCGCGAAGTAGTGGGCGCTAGCACCTTTAAGCTCAGCGAATTGGGGGGCACGAAAATTCCAAGAACGTGGAACGCGCAGAACCTTAGGAGGTACTATTGTCCAGCTTAATATGTATTTGGTCACGATGGTACCTTTACATAGTGGAATAAAACTAAAAGGTCGAAAAAGCAAGTAGCAATAATCTTGAATTATTCGCGCCCACTCCACTGAACGAAAAACGCTGATGACAAATCGCGCACCGTTCACAAAAATAGCAATAATCCCGAATTATTCGCGCTCACGCAACTGAACTTTAAACGCCGATGGCAAATCGCGCGAACAGTTCACAAACTAGCAGTAATCATGAATTACCTGCGCCGCACATAAAAAAAAGGGGCGGAGGAGTTCCCCTTTGGATTCCATTTCACGGGAGCGTGAACTACAACGTTCCGCGGGCAAAGGCATCAGCGCCATAAAATAAAAGAAAAAAAAAAAAACATCATCATCAATTATCACTACGCTACTGGCGCGCTATCCACATGGACAACTTCAACCTCGCCATCCGCCGCCGCAGCGGATTCTCCACCCTCACCCTGGTCATCAGCGTGCTCCTCGCCTTGGTCATCAGCACGCTTCTCATCTTCTTCTTCTTCAGACTCGTCCTCCGACTCAGAGTCAAGTGTCAGCGGCTTCTTCTCACGCAGCTACGTCTGCACGTGCTGAACCATCTCGTGAGTCCTCCAGCGAACGCCCGGGTTTTCGGGTCGTACCTTCTTGCCGACCGCAATGACAGCTTTAGTCATCGCATCCGCCAAGGTCTTCCCAAACATAGAAGAGGACTTATACTGCCGCACGGCAGCAACCTGCGCCTCGCGAACAGCTTCCGCCTTCTCCTGCTGAAAACTTTCCAGACCTGCTTCAGCTTCGCTTCATGACCCGCCTCCAGCTGTGATTTTTCCCGCGCCCATTCTTCAGCCAGCTTCTTCTTCTCTTCTTCGAACTCACCGCGCAGCTCCGCCCGAGCCCGCTCGGTCACCGCCTGGACATCCTCCGCCAGCTTGCTCTGCAAAACTCCCAGTTCCACGAGGGCCTCATTCGCTTTGTTCGTCGCCACTTCTGCGCGCCCTTCCGCCCCCGCGAGCTTACCCTCCAGCTGGACAATCATAGCCGCCTCCGCCTTCACCTTGGCATGATCGCGCGCACGATCTTGTTGGGCGCGGAAGGTGCACATTAGACCCTACACCCAATCCGCCACACATCTCAGTTACGCCAAATAACTTGAGAATAAAACGAAATGAGAAGAGTTAAACAAACATACCGCGAAGTGGATCTGGGCAAGATCCTGCAAAGGATCTGATTTCTCCAACCGCGGAGGAACGGTGAGCACTGGCCCAAGAGCGCGTAGAGCAGCCTGAGCGGACTAGCTATTACAGGCCGCGCCGGTGTGGATCCGCACATCGCGATAGTAATCCACGCCCGCCATCTCCGTCAAAGTTTGCTGAACAGTCCCCCCGGATGAGCCGCCAGCTGAAGTTCCCTCTGGGCTCGGAGGCTTACTCACCAACGGGATTTGCCTCATTGGTGGAGCCTGCTCAACTCCCCGAGGCGGAGGTTTCTCAACTGACCTCGCTGCCTTAGCTGGTCTGCTCGGGGTCGAAGTCTGCTCAGACTCCTTCCTCTTAGAGCTGCTTGTCCGCGCACCGTCGGACTCCTTCCTCTTCGTGCTACTTGTCCGCGCACCCTCCCTCTCCTTTTCCTTCCTCTTCCTCTTCTCACCGCGAGGAGCCTTCACGACCTCGTCCAACGACATCATGCTCGACAACGATGAGAAATCAACGCCTGCGCCAATAAATCGTAAGGCGCCCGTTAATATGACAGAATGCAAGGAAAAAAAGGAAATAAACTAACCGTCCGCAAAAAGCTCCTCCAGAACAGCCGCGCGGACGCCGCTGGAATACAGATTTATCCTATGAGGCATGCAAGCCTCATACTCAGCATCAAGTTCATCATACTTCCCCAGCTCAGACTCATATCGGCGCAACCCCCCTTTCTTCCAGACAGTGGGCTCCTCTACATGCTCCTCCGCCCACTCCCCCGGGACAGGCTTAACGAAGAAAAAGCGAGCAAACCAGTTCTTCTCTAATTTTGGGGAGCCATAGACAAAGCCTTCAGGCCGCTTGTCCCGCCGCCTAATGGAAAGGCAATCGCTCGTCTCGGTCGGCCCCTTAATTTTGTACATCTTCCGGAAAAGACCATAGGTGGGTTGAATACCCAGCCTCTTACAGACCAACCGGAGACAAGACGCGTGCATGACCACGGATGGAGAGACGTGCGCAATAGAACAACCCAATTGCCTGTACAGGGCGCACAACAATGGGTTGATTGGGAACTTGAAGCCCATCCGCCAGTACTCAGAGTATACACCGAACCATCCAGCGGGGCAGTTCCCGATTCGGCTACGCGCGGTCGGAACGGCGTACTGCCAATTGGGGGGCAATCCCAATCCGCGCACTAGTTCCGTGACCTCCCGCCGCCCATACACCGAGACATGGTCTGGTCCGCACACCAAGTTATCACTGGGAACCTGCTCTCCCTCGAACATCTGTTCCCACTCCAAAATCGTATACGCGGCTCCTATCCCGCGCACCCCGAGACGGCTCATCGCTTCGGTCACACGCGACACGCAAATCGGCTCAGAGGAAGCCGCCGATGTCCCGGCGTCCTCAAGCGGTGCGGTGCTGGACCCACTAGCACGATCGCGTCGGATGATCAACACCCCCCGCGACTGGGCCGCGCTAGTCTCGACGCCCTCACACTCCACCAAATCTTCTCCAGATCCGGCATCGTACGAGGGCGTCTCGGGAATCCCTCCGTCACCGCCGTCGTCGTCACCGCCGTCGTCGGAATCACCCAGGTGCATCGCCGGAACTCCTCCACCGCCGCCATCGTCGTCGGACTCGACCAGATCCAACGACGGATCGGAAGAAACATGAGAGAGGGGAGAAAAATTACCTTCTTCATCAGCCAAAACCACGACCTCGTTGTTTACATCAGCATTAGTCATTTGTGCCTTCAAAAGGGAGAATCACGAACGATTTAGAGATCAAGATGATCGGAGAAGAAGGAAAATCTCGTCAGCAAGTAAGTACGACGAAAGGAAAAACAGAAAGGTTAGAGATGAAAAACGTCTCTCCAAGACAGAGGGGTATTTATAACCCCAGGAGAGGAAACTGAAGGGGTGAAAGTTACATCGAGAATCGGAAACGTCAATCCGGAATTTCAAATTTCAAAAAGTAACCGCCCAAACGAGTGAATCACAGCAGGCCACGTCGACACCTATTGATACTAGGGCTAAGAGCTAGGTAGAGGCTAGACGGTGACGTCAAGGGATACGCACACCGCCTGGGGGGGCATGGGTACACCCGCGGAAAAGAAAAATCAGTCAAATAAAAGGGGTCACTCGCGGAACGCGCATAACCTGGGGGCATGAGTTGAACGCGCGTAACAAGGCGTATGCGCGCGTCAATGTAGGGATTCGCTCGTGAAACGCGCGCGCCAATGTAGAGAATCGTTCGTGAAACGCGCACGCCAACTGTCTATGGATGTACCGCGCACAGAGAGAAGGAAGCGCGACGCGTACAAACAACAGAAGAATCGCTCGCGGAACACGCACAACAAACAAGAGCACCTCCCCGCGCGAGTTAAACGCGTACAGTAAGGTGCATGCGTACGACTGGGCTGGAATCCGCTCGCGAAACGAAGTCTGATAGCGCACCTTGCTGAGTGCAGCAGCCTACGCGCGGAGAGAAGGAAGCGCAGCTCAAGCCGGTACGCACGACAAGTTGTATACAGGCACACAGATAACCCAGGGAAGCGTGAAGAGGCGAGAAGAACCGAGCCACCCGCGCGGAAATTAACAGGCGGCATTCACGGAACACCACCTGGTGGGGGGCAATTGTTGGGGATGTGGCTCGGATGCAACCCAGGCCGACGTCGTTTTATCCAGCCCAAAACCAGCGTCGTTTCAGCCCTGGTCAAGCCGGCGTCGTTCTGCCCTGCCTAAGACAAGAAGCGAAGATTGTGTAGATGGCGCCGGAGTCTACGAAGGAGAGGTCATGTCGTGAGTCAGGTCCTAGGAATAATTATGGTCTAAAAGCATGGCCTAAGACCCTGACACACGTTGTAGTCATGTCGCATTAAATACCCACTACCATAATGTACTATAAAAGGGGCATTTACTACGGTAGGTGGAGGGGGGTTTTTGGATTCTCTCACTAATGAACACTCACTTCTCTCTCTAACTAATTTCCTCTGTATTCTTCCCATTCTCCTGAGAGTCCTCACCAGATACAAGTTACCACAACTAATCGTTTGCTCTACCCCCCACATCTCACGCGAGTATAACTCCTACACTCAGTTAGACTCAAACAACTCTTGAATCCACCTACAGATTATGTGGATAATCTTGATATCATGATCTATTTCGATCGTGCAGATCGTTCCGTTCCTGTATGTATGGATGTGAAACACTTTGATTTGTATCACATCACACCAGACCAAATCAATATTTGAACCGGACCATGTTGGACCGAGCATAATGCAACCCGGTTCTTGCTCCCATTAACTTCATAAATTTCGAAGAAAAATAAATCAAAAGTATATTTGTATCAAATCAAATCAGACGGAATGTAATGTTTGTTTGGTCATTGATCCTAATTATTTCTTTTGTTTTATAACGGTTCGGATTGTTGGTGCAAACCCTAATTTGTATGGATTGTGAAATGCTTTATCTGAAACTAAATGCGGATCGGGCCATTCCATGCCCTAGATGTACCATAAACTATGATTTCGTTCATCGTCTTTCCACCACTTTCCAGGTTGTTGATTTTGGAAAATCGAAAATACGGTGGAAACTGTTGTGTCTTATTACTGACACCACATAGGGTTTATATAGAGTACAAAGACTGACTTCTATAATAACCCTAACACTAATAGGGAAATAACATAACTTCTACAACTCTAATAAGAAATATAACTCTACCCAATTACATACTAATACTCGTAGCATAACACAATACTACTCGTACTACACATACTCTAATAGTTGAATGTCGGACCAAGCCACCTAATCAGCTTTCTTAACTTCTTGGTTTCGAAGTCAGCTCTCAGCTCCATTATTCGGAGT